ACACACGGCCAGCATGTGCGCCCGCACACTCCCCTACCATGCACCAAGGGAGAGGCCAAGGCCAGCCTTGCTAGCGACCACCCCACCCCCACTGCTGTAATTTTCCTTCCCTGGCAGCACATCTAGAAGAACCTTGGCAGTGGAGATAAGGGCTGTGACGGGACTGGAAGGCATGGATGTTCAGACCGCCCAGCCACCACCGGCTTCATCCTTTCCAGAGGGGCCTCACCGAGCTTCAGCACCTATCTCCCTGTTCTGTAAAGTGGGGGCAGGGATGACATGGCACTTCCACTTCCCCTTAGGAGCTGAGATGAGCTCCAAGGGTGTAATAAGTGTGCAGATGCTATCGTCATCAGGATCATTATCTGTGGGAACCCGGAGCTGGAGGCTGCAGGGATACAGCTGGATTCAACCACAGCTCTGCCATTTCCCAGCTGTGGCCTAGTTGCTTGCCTCACCTCCTGCACCATCCCGGAAACCAGATGCCTGCTACCTCTTGTGTTTGTACGTGGAAAGCACCTGGCGCATAGTAAGCTCAAACCCTGTGAGTTTCACTGCCAGGGAGCTGCTGAGCGCCAGGAGAGCTGTTGCCTGGGCCTCTTGTGGCTTCCTGACTCCTCCTGGGCCAGCAGCTGCCCTCAGATGTTGAGCAAGCCCCACAAGCCCCCAGGCTGTGAAGGGGGTGCTGGGTGGAGCAGAGGGGTCACAGCTGTTCATGGTGGAAGGTCATATTGACCTCAACAGCAGTGACTGGGCCCCCGGCCCCACAGCCTGCCCTGGGCCCTCAGCTGCCAAGTCTAATTAATCCATCTCGATATTTCACTAACATGTCCCACCCACCCCTGTACCCATCAGTGCCTTATTGCAGCATAGGTGACCATGGCCTCACTGCCATTCTAGCCTTTCCTCTGCTCAGCCATCAGAGTCCACCAAAAAGTGAAGTCTGATCTTGTTGCCCTGAGTCCACCTCCCGGAGGGAATCTGGCCACACCAAGCGCAGGCAGCTGCTTGCCATCTCCCAGGGCTGGACCTGCTGGGGCGATGTATTAGTCAGGATGGATAAGCTATGCTCTGTGATAAATAAGCCCTCCCCAGTGCTTCCCTCTGCAAGTTGATTTCCCTGTCCTGCTGTCTGTCCATTGGGGAGCTGCTGGGCTCCACACAGTCCTCAGGAGCCTCCCGCTGAGAGGATCCCGCCTCAGCGAGGGTCACAAGCAGGTCTTGTATGCATGCTGCGGTCTGCAAGTGACCACATCACTTCCTCCCGTAATCCACTGATCCGAGTGAATGCTGTGGCCACCTAACCTGCCAGGGAGGTGTGTCTAGACGGAGGACAGGGAAGGCTAATGGGCATCGCCAGCTGCCACAACTGTGCACTTCCCCACACAGCAGCTGCTTAAGGAGAGCAGGGCGGGGGCTGGAGCAGAGCCTCTGACTTGCTTCCTGCTTTCCTGCATCAGCTCAGGCTCAAGGCAGCTCCTTCCTTCCTACCTATTTGCCGGAAGCCTAAGGAGGTCATTATCCTTGCCATTCCTTTCCAAGAGGAGCCATTTTCTCATGACCCAGTACAGAGAAAAGCTGCACTGCTCCTTAGCAAGTGGTGGCTTTGAGCTAATAGTGACAGATTCTAATTGTTGCCCTTGTCAGATTGGCCCCTAGGAAGCTCAGACCCAAATCTGAGGTCTACCACACTTTCTCTCATGGAGGACCAGGCAGCACGCACTCAATAGCATAAGCTTCCCTACAATCCAGGTGACTGGTTTTGCCTGTATTTCCCCCCGTTTCTATTTCCTTCCCTATAGCTTTTCTATTTCTCTTTGTTTTGTGTTCTCTTGAGCTCTATGAATGAGGATCAGTGAACTTTAATTAGTCCATCACTGCATTTTGTGCTCCTTCCTTTAGCTCTGGAAAATGCAGCCAAGGTTTGGGCAGAGCTCCCAGCAGAAAACTTGAAATTTCTGAGCTTTGCATACTAGAATGGCCCCTGTAAGACCACCAGACCTCCTGGTGCTTTGTAAAAGGCATAGCCTAGAGGTCAGGCCCCAGATATGACATTGATCCAGATATGTCAACTTGATTAGGTTAAGAACCACCTAGCAGATTGGTAAAGCGTGCTTTGTGGTGTGGCTGGGTGGGTCGTGGAGGCATGACCTTGGGTACTATATCTGGCCCTTGGCCTCTGTCCTTTCTGGCACTGTTCCCCTGCTCTGCCTCGCAGCCACTGTGAACAGGGCAGCTTTGCTCCACCACACCCTTCTGCCATGATATTTCTGTCTTGGAGCCAGCTGATCAGGAACTGAAACCTCTGAAATGATGAGCTGAATAAATCATTTCCTCCTTTAAGTTGTGGGTCTCAGGTATTTGATCCTAGCAATGGAAAAGCTAATATATCTATGATCACTGTGACCTGCCTGAGGTCACACAGTCTAACCCTGTGCCTAGGACTGAACACAGAGCAGAGCCTCCTGGGCCAGCCACCGGGCAGGGCAGGGACCTTTGTCCTGCCTGGTGCCCTGGGGCTGGGCAGCTGCTGCGCTGGGCACTCCACAGCAGAACCCCAGGACTCTAAGGAAACTTCCTGTGCAGAAGATGAGCCCGGATATCAAACTGTGGATCTGGGGGCACAGTGCCAGGGGTTAAGGTGGGGCGGGAGAGGCAGCAAGAGGGAGGTGGCGGAGGGCAAGGTCTCTGAAACTTGGAGATCAAAGAAGACTCTCTGGAGGAGGTCGCTTGGGAACGGGAAGAAGTGGATTTGCATGTGGAGATTGGAGCAGGGTGAGATGGGAAGAACAACCCAAGCAGTGGGGAAGGCCAGGGACTGGAAATACAAGGCAAGTAGCAAGGAAATTAGACAGTACTGTTTAGGGAGTAAGCAAGAAAAATTAAAACCTGAAATATATAGTTAGACCCGACCCGAAAGCCTTGAATGCCAGGCTCAGGATTTGACCTGACCCTGTAGGGTGACATGAATGGGAGCATCAAAGGGTGATGTGAGGTGGGGGCAGGAGTGATGAGGATCCATCAGCCAAGGCCTGGTGTCCGAAAGTGTACCCTGGCAGTGCCGAGGCCCCAGATCCTGTTTGATCATCGCTAAGACCGGAACTTCGCTCAAGCCAGGCACAGTGTGGCCCTGCTCACCGCTCCGGCTGCCCTGCCATCCTCCTCCTCTCATCTGGTGGACAGGCTGTCTGTGTGTCTAATACACAGGAAGTCCTCAGTTCATGAACGTTCAAGCTGTGAACTTTCACAGATATGAACACACCTTGCATTTGGGGTTTTTTTATGCTTTACAGTGTACATTTGTGTCAAGGGTATCTAAGACTCACTTTGTCAGACTTATGAACAAACCCAATTTACAAACTCTCCAGAGCGGAACTCAGTGTATGTTTTCTTCTTTTTAAAACTTCCCTGCTAGACAGGCGTGGTGGAGCACACCTGTAATCCCAGCACTCAGGAGGCTGAGGTAGCAGGATCATTGGGTGTTCGAGACCAGCCTGGGCTACAAAGTGAGCTCAAGGCCAGCCTGAACTGCATAGTGAGACCATGTTTTAAAACAAAAAAAAACAAACAAACAAAAATGGAGATGTAAGCCGGGCGTGGTGGCGCATGCCTATAATCCTAGCACTTGGGAGGCTGAGGCAGAAGGATCACTGTGGGTTCGAGACCAGCCTGGGCTACAAAGTGAGCTCAAGGCCAGCCTGAATTGTGTAGTGAGACCCTGTCTCAAGAAGACCAGTGAAATAAAATAAACTTCCCTGCCAAAAGTAATAAACCACAAGTGATTCACCTAACATTCTCTGTCTGCTGCAATCTCAGGGCCTGCACTCAGATACTTCTGTCTGCCTAGGGTATCTCTCCCAGCTCTTCCTGGCCCTCCCTATGTGGCCTGCTTATCCTTCATGTCAAGCTCACCATCACTTCTGGTAGCAGTCCCCCCTGCTGGCATATACAAGTCCCCAGTGTTACTAAGGGTGGGGCTCAGACTCCTGCTCACCAAGCCTCCTGTCCCGGAAACAGGGTCTGGACACCGTCGTGCTCAGTAAATAGTCAACAAATACCAGCTGGATGAGGAACAGAGGAAGCTCAAGATTCCTGGATGATAACACAGATTGAGCATCCCTAACCCAAAAAAAACGCAAACTCTAAAATGCTTTGAAGGCCAGGCATGGTCATGCATGCCTGTAATCCCAGTACTCAGGAGGCTGAGGCAGGAGGATCGCTGTGAGTTCAAGGCCCACCTGGGCTACAAAGTGAGTTCAAGGCCAGGCTGAACTGCTTAGTGAGACCCTGTCTCAAAAAAGCAAAAAAAAAGAAAAAAAAGAAAAATGCTCTGAAATCTGAAACTGGACCTCGGCACTGCCAGGGTACACTTTCGGACACCAGGCCTTGGCTGATGGATCCTCATCACTCCTGCCCCCACCTCACATCACCCTTTGATGCTCCCATTCATGTCACCCTACAGGGTCAGGTCAAATCCTGAGCCTGGCATTCAAGGCTTTCGGGTCTAACTAAATATTTTAGGTTTTAATTTTTCTTGCTTACTCCCTAAACAGTACTGTCTAATTTCCTTGCTACTTGTCTTGTATTTCCAGTCCCAGGCCTTCCCCACTGCTTAGGTTATTCTTCCCATCTTGCTCAGAGCCTCCAGCTCCAGAGAACTGCTACCCACTTAGTTGGGTGGGGGTTTGGGACAGGATTAATGGCGAGTTCTCTATAGTTTCTCTGCCTTTTTGTGTTTACCCTTGAAGAGATGAGAAGCCCTAGTACATCTGCACACAAGTTGGAGGTAATTATGCACTGTCCCCCTTACCTCACTGGATCCAGAGAGAACCGTGACTGTAACCCATGCACTTGGTTGCCCTTCACAACATCTCACTGTCCACACACAGCTGAGCACTGCCCCGGTTGTGTCCACTTACAGATTCTTAAGGGGAGACCTCCGTGTGTCCCACAGTCAGAGCAGCGAATCTCAAGCCGTTTGTCCTGTTTGTTTCCAACAGATGTCATGGCGCCCCCAGTACCGGAGCTCCAAGTTCCGCCACGTTTTTGGCAAACCGGCCAGCAAGGAGAACTGCTACGACTCTGTGCCCATCACCCGCAGCGTTCATGACAATCACTTCTGTGCGGTGAACCCCCACTTCATCGCAGTCGTCACTGAGTGTGCGGGTGGGGGGGCCTTCCTCGTCATCCCCCTGCACCAGGTAAGGTCATCTTGTCACCTTCAGGCCCCGACCTGTCCCGACAGGCCCTCAGGACAGGGGGAAAGTAGACAGAACCTGGGTTCCTAGGCTCAGGTGTGATTCCAGTCCTCGCCCTGTCTAGTGCTAGTTGTGTGACCTTGAGTAAGTCATGTCCCCTCTCTGAGCCTTGGTTTCCTCCTTAGGAAAGTATACCTGTCTGAGGTTTCAGCTTCCAACAGCTGGGCTGGCTCTCCTAGAGCCTCTGCTCCTCTCTATAAAACACATTGATTCACTGCAAACTAATTCACTCCTGAGTAAAGTATAGTTTTTAATGTCTTCCTGGACTCATGGAATTGGGAAAATCTCCAAAGCCACCTATCCCTACCAAAGAAAAGGGAAATAAGCACTAGGCCTAGAAAGGTGAGCAGTCAAAGAAAGGGAGAGCAGACACGTCCTGGGCAAACAGGCCATGTATTGCTAAGAGTCACTTTCTGACCCCTCAGAAGGACAGTTGCACATGGATCATCCTCGCAGCAGGACACCAGCTCTAAAGAGACTCGGGGGTCCTCAGTTGATAGAGCCCCTGGCTCCTAGCAGAAGAACTGTGAAACCTCTCCAGAGAAAAGCTGCTCAAGGATGAAGATCAGGGCACTAGGGATGCATAGAGACCACCACTGCATGACTACCACCGTGAGAGTCAGCTGCAATGGCAGGTGCCTGACCTGGACCCCCAAGGACCACAGCAGTTCCAATCATAAAATACCGGTCAGAGTTGGATAAAACAGACTGCCTGGCTGGCTGGCTTTTTTTTCAGTGCTGGGTATTAAACCCAGAGACTTTGTACTGAGTTGTCTCCCCAGCCTTTTTTAAAAAATTTGGGATGAGATCTCACTGAATTGCCCAGGTTGGGCTTGAATTTGAGGCCCTTCTGCCTCAGCTTCCCAAAGTGCTAAGATTACAGGCGTGTGCTAGCATGCCTAGCTTATGCATAGACCAGGCTTTCAGATTGCAATGCAATTGTGTTAGAACTCAATAATACAATATAAATGTTAAATTAATGCTCACTTAGAAATTTTAAAATACATTTCTCAAATAGTGTAGACCAAAGAAGCAATCAAATGGAAATTTAAAAGTACTTTGGATTACTTCATAAAATTTAGGGGATGCAAGGAATGTGCTGTATCAAGGAAAAAGTATAGCACTAATACAAAGGAAAAAGGGAAAACATACAAAAGGAAAAAGACTGAAAATTAAAGAATGAGCATTCAGTCTAAGAAGTTAAAAAAAAAAAAGACTAAACCCAAAGAAAGTTTGAGGAAGGAGATAATAAAAAGCAGAAATGTCCAGGCTAAGTGGCTCATATCTGCAATCCCAGCACTCTGGGAGCTGAGGCAGGAAGGTGACAGTCAGAGGCCTGCCTGGGCTACATAGCAAGTTCAAGATCTAGACTACATTCTGTCTCAAAAAAAAAAAAAAAACTGATAGAGACTGATTAAATAATAAAGGAAAGAAGGTACAAATACCATCAGGAACAGAAAAAGCAATGTAACCACAGAGCCTTAAAATCTAATAAGATCTGGGAATATAGCTCAGTGGTAGAGGACTTTCCCAGCATGTACATAGGCACTGGGTTCAATCCCCAGCACCACAAGAAAAAAATTAATGAGACATTTTAATGAGCAGTTTTATGCCAATATATTTGAAAACATTGACAATGTGAGAAAATTGCTAAAAATATGTAATTTGTTAATATGGATTCAAGTAGAAACTCATACCTTATCACCAGGAAGCAGAGGAGAAAGGAACAGTCCTATAACTTTTTTAAACTGAGCAATAAAAATTGCACTACACACTGTATTGTCAAAAATATAAATGTCTGATAATAGCAAGCAATAGCAAAGATAGGGAACAGTGTAAAGTACATACCAGGCACTTCTGGTTGGGAGTGGAAGCTAGAATGCCTATTTTTTGGGGGGAAAAAAAGAAAATACATATGCCTATGACCCAGAAATTCCACTCCTAAGCATATACCAAGCTGAATATGTGCTCAGGTGCACTAGGACAGAAAGATGGGAAGGCACATAGTAGCTCATATTATAGCAAAACTGGGAAAACCATGTGTTTTTAAGTGATCTGTTGGTAATTTATTTTCCAGCAACTCATTAGGTGGAACATTTCCATTCTGTGTGGTTTTTTTCATGTTTGTTGTATTTTACATACAGATACACATACACATAAGCAAGACTCCAGGCCTAAATGAACTTATAGGCAAGTCCTACAAAACTTCCTTTTTTTTTTTTGTACCGGGAATTGAACTCACGACCTTGCACTCGCCAGGCAGGTGCTGTGCAGCTAAGCTAAATCCCCGGCCCCCTACAAAACTTTCAAGGAAGGGATTATCTAATCTTTCACACACTCTTCCAAAAATAAGAAAAGAAGGACTCCCTTCCTCATTCTCTGACACCTGTGCAACCTTGATACCAAAACCAGACAAAGACAGAACACACACACAAAAAATGCAGATAGACTGCACTCATGAAAATGCAGAATTACTAGCAAATAAAATCTAGCCATGAATAAGAAAAGGTACTTTGAGATCAAGTTAGATTTATTCCAGAAACTAAGGTGGCTTAATATTAGTCAACAACGGTAAGCCATCTTATTAACAAATGACAGGAGAAAAATCATGCAGTCATCCTCATAAATGCAGAAAAGGCATTTGATAAAGCACAGCAACCATGCATGAGAAAAATCACAGGAGACTAACTAGGTGTGTTAGCTCTCTATCACCACGACAAATACCTGAGGTAATTAACTTTAAAGAGGAAAGATGTATTTTGGCTCACAGTTTTGGAGGCTTCAATCCATGATTGATTGGCCCTGTGGCTTTGGGGCCTGTGGCATCACCAGGAAGCAAAAGAGAAAGAAAGGAAGGGACCTGGATCCAACAACAACCTGTAGGGGGCTTGTACCCAATAACCTAAAGACCTCCCATTAGGCCACACTCCTTAAAACCTCTACCATCTGCCAGCATCCCCTTGCTGGGGACAGTCAAGGTCAAAACTGTAATACCAGGGATAAAAGGGAAATTTTATAACCTATTGCAAACAGTATTTTATGAACTTTTTATTTTGAAATAATTTCAACCCTATAGGAAATTTTCAAATATAATTGAAGGAACTCCTGGTTATCCTTTACCTGGTTAACTAGTTATTAACATTTTGCCGTATTTGCACTATATGTGTGTTTGGAAATGTAGAGAAGTTATAGATACAACCCTTCACCCCTGGATGAGTCTATGTATGTACTAAGAACAGGAACATTTTCTTGTATTGACACAGTATAACCACATTTGGAAATTTAACACAATAGAATGCTAGTTATACAATCCACCTTCAGATTATGCATATTATCTCAGTAATGTTCCTTATAGTGAATTTTGTTTTCTTGATCTAGAATCCAATTCACAACCACATACTATGTTTTAGTTGTCATATCTCTTAGCCTTCTTTATTTCATCATATTAACAGTTTTAAACAGTAAATGCCAGTGGCTTTGCAGAATGTTTCTAAATTTGGATATATCTCTTCATTAGACCCATTTATGTATTTTTGGCAAAACTATTATATATCCTTCTCAGTTCATTACTTCATGGGACATATGATGTCATTTGTCCCATAATTGGTGCTGTTGACTTTGGTCTCTTTGATAAATAGTCAACAATACAAACATCACTTATAAAGGAAGAATGTTAGAAGCACCCTTTTGAAATCAGGAATAAGGTTAAAAGGTTATGACCTGCGCAGTAAGAGTAGAAAAATAAGTTGAAGATGTAAGGTGGAAAAGGAAGAAATGAAATTGCCCTTATTTACATATCTGATTCTCCAAAGGAACATAAAAACAGAAAAATAAGAGTGTTTGTAAGGCATCTGAGTACAAAACTCAGAATACAAAGAGGAATTGCCTTTGTACATACCACAGACATTTAGAAACATGTAAATATTTCCAGCAAGGTAATAGAAAACCAGATACCTGTGAATAAACATTAAGGACTTAAAAAAAAAAATAGAAAAAGCCTGCCATGGTGGCACACACCCGTAATCCCAGCACTCAGGAGGCTGAGGCAGGAGGATCATTGTGCATTCAAGACCAGCCTGGGCTACAAAGTGAGCTCAAGGCCAGCCTGAACTATATAGGGAGACCCTGTTTCAAAAAGACAAAAAAAAAAAGGACTTGGAGAAAATTGTAGAGCATTATTAAAAGACTAGTACTAAAGACGGCCGAAGTAAATGGAAGTATGTACTATATTCACCATGGACAGACACTTTGCTTCTTTCCCAAATTTCAGATTTGTACAGCACCCTCTCCCTACCAGGGATTGAAACCAGAGCCTTTACACAGAGCTATATCCCTACCCCCTTTTAAATTTTTAATTTAATATTTTGGGGGTGTTTTGAGACAAGATCTTGCTAAGTTGCCCAGGATGGGTTTGAACTTTCAACTCTTCTACCTCACCTTCCCAGAGTGCTGGGGTTGCAGGTGCACACCTGTGTGCCCAGTTTAGCTTTATCCTTTCTTAAGACACATTCCACAGCCTATTCTTTGCTTAGAACACCACACCTGACTACTTTAACTTAATCAGTGTTCTGCTATGTAGTACCTCCTAATGTAGGAGAGTTGGGGGAGGAATCACTTTGCCTTTATGGTGCATAATTGGTGCTCATGAATTTTCAGTGACTGAACAAATTACATAATGATTCTTCACTCACATATACAGGGTGGCATAAGTGACAAAGGGACTGACAGTAGCAAAAGCTTGGAGGGGGATTACACCTGGGATGTTCAAGGAACAATGCAGACAGCATTCTGGCAAAACAAATAATCAATCTGAGAAGGGCAGGGAGGGAAATACCCTACAGAAGTGAACTGGGGCCAGATGAGAGAGCCTGGAGTGCTAGGCTGAGGCAAGCGAGCTCATCGGAAGAGATGACATTTTTCAAACTGAGGAGGAACAAGTACAA